ATTATTTTATCATTTATATCGTTGTCTATTGCGCTCGAAACATCAGCGTGAAAAACATTATCTATTCACAAACTGCCTACTTGTTCAAACATATTATTCAAATTAATTGAACGAAACCTGAAATATCCTTGATTACATGCCGGAAGACAACGGTAAATTGCCAGTGCAAATTACTCCAAAATTTATTTATTAAGAGCTAATACTGTATGCATTCAAGTGTTACAATATGGGTTACACTTTTTCTATTATTCCATTTTTATAGTCTTTTACAAATATCTGGAATAACGAACACACTTGGATCTTTGATGCCAGGCATGAAATCGGTATATGTCATTGTGCTTATCATTGGCACTAGAATAAAAACAGAATGCATACTTTCTTCTTATTATTAAATAATATACACATACTCGGTGTTCCCATAATAACAGTTTCAGTAAATGGTATACACTTTCCATCACCACTGACAGTGGCATAGATGTTGTACTGAGGTGCTTGGAAAAACCATGTGTGACCTGGTATTACCTTATCACCGTAACCATACATAAATGAATGAACATAATGTGCTGAGTCTTAAATAAAAAAAATATAAATCAATACTTTGCTTTCTAAAAATAAAAGCCTGATTGCTCCGTTCCTGTATATTTCACATTTAATGTCGAGATTATATATAAACTGCATTTGTGAGCCATTTTATATAAGTTTAACAAAAAAAATTTTGAAAAAGGCGAAAATCTAAATCCAGTTCTTCTGATCCCTATACCTTTCAGTGAGAATTATTCAGAATCGTCTGTAAGCGTTTGGATAACATGTATGTCCCATTTCGACGTAGTAACGACTTTTTTAGTGCTCGCCGCTCAAGGACTTCTGTACGGAGTACTTCCACAATTCACACAAACTTCATTAGTAAGATATCTCATTGATGCTGTGAGAGTTGTAATTTTGTAATTTAGCTTGTTATAACAAGCTAAATTTTATAACTGTATTACTGTCGTGAGTTGTTGACTGCACAGAACGATGTAAAAATATTATTCTACAGTTACCTTGACAAAAATAAAGGAAATTATGATTATTCATTTCTGTTCAAAAGTCGTTTGGCCATAAGAAATATCTGGTGTGATAGATGAATATGTTGAAACAAATAAGGCATTCTCTGTCGTTTTAAATGTGTTAACATTTCTTTCTCTTCAAAAGATAGTACAGTCGTACCTGGAATGCATTGCATTAATTTTATCGATGTCATTTGTTTTGAACAAGTATTATTGTGCAAATTAATATAATAATCAATATTTTCATTATAATTTTGTATTAATCGCACATTTGTTTTAACATTATCAGTACTGATGGTAACACCACGAAGTGCGACCAATTTACTATCATAATTATACGAAAAATTGTAATATGCCTATAGAGAAATACGCTTAGCAAATAATTTGATATGACAAATAAAACTTACAAATGAAGCTATTGCCATTCCTGATACTTGTATACCGGTTGACATACTTAATTGACCTTCCCATTGCGTTTGTACACAACAAGGTTTTTGTCCATATACAAGCGATACCGCAATTATAAATGTAGCATATATAAACAGCATTTTGTAGCACGAGAAACAAGGAATGATTTCAAAGTGCAAAAGAATTTTATCACCGTACTGTCGTGTGTGTATGCGCTTAATTTTAAACGAAATGTAAAGTAGAATGGGTCATATTTACCTGTTATATAGAAAGTTTCTTTTATAACCACACGGATGTTTTCCATTCAGAGATTAACATTGTAAGACAGAAAAGTATGTCATTTCAAAATGACACACTGACCCTCATTCTTTCCAGAAACAGCTACTTTTTTATCTGTTCTAAATACTGTAAAACGCATAAGCAAAATTCAAAAATCCTTGAATTGCATGTTTCATTTAAATGACTTACTTTTCCTCCTGACAATATTATAGTGAAAAAACATTAAGCCATTAGGCCACACCGGCTTGCTTTTTCTCTCACAGTAACTTATCTCTACACAAAATAAAAAATACTTTACAATTTTTGTTTTAAATGAGTAATCAGTCGTATTGCGTTAATTTATTCACCGTACGAATTGATTCATAGCCCAAGCAAAAAAATACTTTTGAGAATATCTAGGTATAACTTTTTTCATCTATGAAACACGTAGGTAAAGTTAGCACCGGATTCGAATATTTTCGCCCCAGATTCATTTGTAAACTTGGTCCTACCTGGAAATGACTTGGTCCAGATAGAGCTCAACAAGCTCTACAAAACCCTGTACTTCCTTTCTCGAAACTAACAGTGGTTTATGAGGAAAACTTAAAAAACTGTTTTTTATAACAAGAAAAATTACGGTTTTTCAGTAAACAATTCACAGAGTCATTCAAAGACTTGGTCCAAAGCTAAATTGCACACTGTTGGATAGAGCTCATCGAGACGCATCCAGAAGTGTCCTCTGATGACCTTCATCTCAACAAAAACATTAGAAAGTTTTCCAAAGATCCTTTTTCTCTGTGCTGTTCAGGAATAAAAGTTCCGCAGATTCATTCCAAGACTTGGCCCAAAGCTAAATTGCACCTTGTTGGGTAGAACTCATCAAGGCGTATACAACAGTGTCCTCTGTTAATCTGCATCTCAACAAAAACATTAGAAAGTGTTCCATAGATGCTATTTTTATTGTACTGTATATGCATATACAACAGGTACTCCCAAGAAAATACATGAAAAAGTAACAGAAAATAGCTACGTGGAAGTAGAGAAGATGCGTGCGGAATTAGAAGTAGTATATCAAATTAAAATAAAGATTGAGATGTGTTCGAATAATAATAGTCATTTGTTATTGTGATTGTTGTTTCTCTAAGCGTTTTGTATGATAAT